TGGTGACGACTTAAAATCAAACTTTTAAACACATGCTTATTATAGATCCAATTAAGTTTAAGTTTAGTTTAAGTTCAAGTTTAGTTTAAGTTTTATTGATTTGCCACAGGAATGGCAGGAGAAAGGAACAGAACTTTCATTCCAATTGACACCTAACCCCGTTTTTTTACCCACCCATCCCACCCTGGGGAGGACATCCATCACACAGTAATCTCGTGTGTGGGAAATTAACGTCTCTTACCCCAACCCTGCAGGAGATGGGACCTCCATTTATCGTCCCTATCCGAGAAGACTAGAAAGTCTAACCATTTGCAGATATTATTACAAACTAAGGCAGCACTTTCTTCTCAGTTAATTAGAGACCCTGAGTGTTGGTCTGGCTGGATTTGAACTCACTACCTCCCGCACAACAGTCTGGCACTCTATCAATTGAGCTAACCGGGAGGCAATAAATAAAATTTTTCCCTTCTATTTAGCAAACATGTCCTTTTAAAAAAGGCAGAGATGCCATGTCAGCAAGCTGGTGACAGACTTTAAATCAAACTTTGAAACACATGCTTACTATGGATCTGATTCATAAAATTTTTCCCTTCTATTTCATTAGTAAACATGTCCCTTAAAAAAGTTTAGTCCCAATTCTAGATAACACACTCAAGATGATAACATTCTGGGAGAACTAAGAGAGTTCAAACCTTACCCAGAAGTGTGCCAAAGTGTTGATCCTCATGGTTCTTTCAATCTCAACATCTTTAAGATTCAACAGTTTCTTTCCAGACAAGATCCCAGCATTGTTTACCAATATGTCCACCTCACCAACTTCACGCTGTACCTTTGCAGCAACACGATATACTTCCTCTCTATTGCTGCAATCACAAATGTAGGTGTGAGCCACGCTACCAAGGGCACGGACTTGAGCAGCAGTCTCTTCATTCGAATCTACACAAAAATAATAGTTCAAATCAAGACAAGATTTTTTCGATCATTATTAACTAAACTTGACAATCCTCTCTGACAAGATTTTGTTACAATATACTGATCATCTTTTAGCCTGTAAACCAGTTTACAACCCTTTTTCTGAAGAGCAGAGATGCCCTGGTCTCCTGGTTTTAATTATTCAGAGCCTACACTGTTCCCTACCCAGGGGTACCGTGTGATCTTCCTCTTCTATCTTTTACCTTTGTTTATGTCCCACAGGACAAGTTTTGCACCATGAGCAGCAAATTCAAGAGAAAGTAATCTGCCAATCCCACCACCAGCACCTCGAGAGAAAATTGGCAAAGTAAAAGACGTGTAAATACACAGCTTATATTTCAATGGGTAGAAGCTGGCCCCTATTTTTTTTTAAAGTCCCAGAAATATAATTAGTGCAAAGTTAAATTTCCAAAAGTAAATCTATGCAACGGCAAAGCAGGTCTTGGCTCAAAAACTGGTCATTCTGTTTTGACTGCTGATATTTTATTGTTTTAAGTTCAAAAGTATAAATATCTAAATCATGTCGGAATGTAAAGAACAGCTTTCCAAGACCATTTGTAACAAGGACTCCAAACTTTTGATAAATTCTACATAAGTGAAGTTTATCAGCAGTGTTTTAATAGCTGTACGTTCAAATTTAACTAAATTATAAATTATGTTCAAAAGATACAAGACGCCTATCAAATAATAAGAAAACATTGACGAAGGTACATTAGCAAAGGGGACATTTATTGTTTGGATATAAAAAGTGAACACTTTGCGATGTTAAGTGAACTGAGATCTGAAATTTTCTTCCTTCAAAATCATTACAGGATTAACAGATTGTCGAACACTTTTAGCATTAATATAATCTTATGAAAATCAGGCTTACAATTTTATCTTAAATTAATCAATGATCTTACAGCAGCAGTAAGCGGGAAAAAAAAAACTTTATTGATTCTGGTGGTCAGTGGATTGGTTTTCTGGAATATCGAGATGGAAACTACCTCAAATGCTCTTGTAAAACATCGAAAAAACACGCAAAGTTAAACAGTAACACGCAATTTGTGCACCCTCCATCCTTCATTCTGATATAATTATATTCCATCATTCTGATCAGTAAGAAGGAAAAAAAAAACATTTACATTTCTTCTGGAGGTCGCTGGATCAGTATTCTAATAAATTTAATCGGAGAATACCTCAAATGGACGTGTAAAATGTCGATAAAAAAAACATTCAAAGTTGAATTGCTCACCAAACTTCGAGATACGCCTTTAACAAATTATGATGCACGCTGTGCCTCACCTGTGATCAACACCGTTTGATCTTCGATGTTTTTTTTTGGTGGAGGGATAATTCGACGAAACGCTGCTTCCAGCCAATAGAAAAGAACTTTAAAGTACACCACGAAGATCTCGAAAATCAGCCACATCGTCGCAGGGAAAGAAAGGGTTGAACAGCTTGCGAGCGACTAAGCGATCCAAAAGCAAAAGCAACAGGGATTATCACGTGATTATGTGACGCAAAGCCGAGGGAATGAGAAGAATGTCTTTGTCACACATGAACCGTTTGAGTTTTCTTTTCATTCTAAAACTGGTCTTAATACCTCGATTTTGCACGGATTATCATCTGCTTACTTTTCTTTTCTATATTTGTCTTCGTTCTACGAATGCACTTTTTGGAGGCGCACGGTGGGGTCCCTAAACTTTTCGGATTGAACTGGCAATTACTCGCCTGATTACATGAGCCGAGCTGGCACGGTTAGCCGGGCTGATTTCTTTTGTTTTCACGCTTTGGCGCACACCAAAACAAAAGAAATCAGCCTGGCTAACAGGGCCAGCCCGGCTCATGTAATCAGGCCCTTAATCTTTGTTTTTTAAGGCTCGGACTCGTCTGAGAGATTATCAGAACAATATTTACCTCAAAAAAGAATTCTTAAATAGGGGCAAGTAGAGAAAGATTATTTTATTATTAGTAGTGACATAATGAATGTAAATATTTCATTATCAAGCAAGTACGAGAACTCTCAAATTATAACTGTTTCTTTACAAGTAACGTTGACTGATAAAGTAAACAAAAGAAATTAGTTGTTAGTATAAGACTAAGATAATATCATAATTAAGAAGTATAAATGTAAGATTATGACGTTAAAAAACTCAAACAGAAAATAAATTTGAATCTTATCCATTTCAAAGTGAAACATTCTCATTTATAAGACTTCCCAAATTCATATCTCAGGCTTTTTAATGAAAGAAAGAAGAAGTTCTAACTATTCAGAGCTAGCCTCCGTTATGTAGATATTTATCGTAAAATTCCGTTCTTCTTTAGGGCGTGGCCTTTTCCAACGGGACAGGCACACATGATATTGTTCGTTGTGTAAAGCTAAGCCTTCTTGATCATTCAATTTAACGGAGAAGTTTAGTTCTGTCTACTCCAGAACACTCCAAATGGATGTCCATATGCGGTAAACGCATTGTAAGCTTCTCTGCTCCGCTGCATCCTGACCTGAGTATGCGCAATTTGACTGGCATGAAATCCTGGACTTTGAAACGGCGTCATATAGGTGTGAGCATACGCGACAGGGTTGTTTTGTGGAATGTTCATGAATGTTAAATGCATGGTTGAATTTCCGTTATAGGGTAGATTTGGAGCCGGAAAGTATCTGGGTGCCGCTTGAAAATGTTCGTGATGTGGCAAATAGTTAGGAGGGTAGCCAGTGCATTGCGCTTGGGCAGGAAATGGGCTCTGCGGCTGTTTGGAAGAACTGTTCTTCATCGGACTTGCAATGCGTATACTTCTTTAAGCAGCCGGACCACAAGGAGCCATGAGAGGGTTTTTGATGTCAGGCCGCACAGAGATGACTGGAGAAGAATGTTGTAACGTCACGTAAGTGTTTACACTGTGCGCTGGTTGATGTAGCTTTTTTACCGTCCCTAGAGATCGTGACACAACAAAAATATCAAGAGGTTACTATTATTATCTCATGTCTAGGGCAAGGAAATATTTAACTTACCTATTGTTAGCTCCTGGCTAACGACCGTGACTGCAGCGGCCGATGTTACATTTTCTTGCTTTCCGGTGAAGTCTTCTTTCCTCATTTTAAGACACGAAATATCCTTCTCAATATTTTCCCGGGTTTCAATTGCATCATCAGTCCCACAGGCTGAGGCGCATGATAAGGACTGTATTCCGTCTTCAACAGATTCCGTCATCTGTTCTTTCCTTTTCAAAAAGTACATGCAGAATATTTATCATCACAAACTTTGAAATATATGACAAAATGTTGTGGGTCAGTAAGTGAAGATCTCAGATTCTCCGGCGCACATTTCAATGGAATCAAGTCCAGTTTCTAGAGGGCATGTGCACTACTTTAAACTGAGCTAAAAACTGAGTCACAGGTGAAGAGAAAGGATACATTCTGATCACCATTTGGGATCAAATTCCTTTTAAGGAATCAAACAGCTTACAATTATTTTATATACTTTTTAGGTTAACATCCAAAGTTTCAATCATTCCTTTGTCAGTTAAAGCTAAATCTCAGTAGAAAAACCCAATCATGCAAATATTACATCATTAAAACAGTTTACAAATCAATAAATGTATACATCCTATGGTGTACAAACCTTTCTTTCTCTTTGATTTTTCTATTTAAGCTGTACCGTTTGAGTGACTTGGATCGTTTTGAACTTTCTTCCAAACTCTTCAAATTCATGGTTCTCTTAATCCATGATAACGCCCTTAGTACTGACTTGAGCGAAATGAAATTCTCTTAAATCAGGGTTAAAAAACGACAATTCCAACCCCAACATTCAATGTCTACTGCTCACGGATACTTTCATCTGCAAGTATGATTTGCAGCTTTTCTCAGTTCGTTAAATACAGTTTTGTCTGTGTCGTTACGTTCTAAAGCGCGCGCGCGCTTTCAAAATGCGTTGTACGCCAGAATGCTCTTTGCGCTATTTGTAGTGACATGGAATTGAAACACAAAAACAGCCTGTTATAGACCTATTCCCATTCCCACGTTTAATTCGGTAAAGGGATTAAAAGAATGGTTCCAATTTGCAAGATTGTAACATGATTGGTCATAAAGCCATACACGAGGTATTTCAAAGAGTTTTAGTGCCCTTTTTCGTCTTTAGATGACGAGAAATCGAGAACATTACAGATGCGATGCTTGGATGATAATCAAGGAGAACACTTGAAAAGAAATCGTGTTATCTTCTGGGTTATAGCAGAATTTATTGATCCATTTTGAACAGAAATCGACTTCGTCTGTTTTATCTGAGTCATCCTGACTATGTGGATTACGTGTAATTCTATCCCCACCCTATACCACTGAGTAATAACCTCTTATGCCATATTGCGCAATACTACCCACAGTTCTTCTTGAGCAACAATCGAACATGGAGTATATGGACGAAATCCCGTCTTCCGAAAACCAAACCAGGTAATTTAACACAAACTATTAGCCAAACTTAGCTTACCTTATACTTTTAACTAGTCGTTTAAGGGAAGCACTCGTTGTAAATATTTCATTCGACTTCTATCTTCAGCCTTTGCTGTCAATGTGGTGTGCTTACAACTCCGAACCCATCTAACATGTGCGTTGGGTGCCTTAGAACTCAAGTCGACATTACCGAGGGAATTCCCAAGCAAAGTAATTTATATTTCTGCAAAGCATGTGAAAGGTAAGGTTTTCAAAGTGATTTGATCTTGACCGCTTATCGATGCTTAGAAATGGACGGAAACTCGTTTTCTTAACAGATTTTGTGGCACCGTAGCTTTCATGTATTTTGGTTTTTGCTTTTTTTTTTTTTTTTTTCAGGTCTGAATTTCGCTATTGCTCAAATAGCGCTATCTACTGCGAGGATCGTCCATCATACGTAATTCGCCGATTGTTCTGTCCAACTTATCATGTACAGGGCGTAGGGCTAAACAGGCTCCTCCTCTAAACTTAAGCTTGTTAATAGCACAGCAAAATCAAACGAAATAAAAATTGATAAGTGAAAATAATTCGTTTCGAAATCAGTCATGCCATCT